ATGTTTTGGGGAATAAACTGATACTTCCCCATTTGAAAATTATAAGGAATCAAAATGGGAACCATCTAAGAACCAGAAGTGGCTGGCCTCTAGCTTTTCAATACTTTGTAAGTGTTCTTGGTTATGTTTTGAACACTTAAATTTCTCAACAAATGGCTATGTCTATATTTATGTAGGGGCCACTCTTGCCCTACTTGCATGCTACTTTCACACACTTTTAATTGAAATTAGTGTGAATTCTGTATGCATAAGGGATGTATTAAAGATGCGGGATCATTAACACTATATTGTTGCATACTATTTTTCATATGCCTTACAATATTTTCTGGGACGTTATTAAAATGAAAGCATTTTATTGCCAAAATAAATCTATGTTGTTACTACTAATCTGCATTAGCAGTAGAAAAATAAATAATGTAGCAAAAACATATATTGTACAGTACAAAATTATAAAATATATATTTTGCCAATAATATGAAAATAGATCGAGAAGAAAGAAGCACATTTGTTATAGCACAAACTTACAACAAATCCACTGTTAAATTTGGCAGTCATATTTTTTAAAAGTATATAGATTTAATTCTAAGTTTTATCAGATTTATTTCATCTACCATCTTTTTAACTTGCTGCTTGATACTTTTCCAGCAATTTGTTTCATAGCCTTGCAATCTGTGGATGTAATTTCTTTTGTTTTATTCCCTTCCATAAAATTTATTAAATTTTATTTTGTGATAAGACTCATATTATATTTTCTGTTCTTATTTCTTCTCCTTCAATTACAACAGCAAAAAGGCACACAAATGAGCTCATAGGGCTCCTTGAATTTTGGGCATATTTGAAATTTTTATATTTTTCACAGCCTCAATCAGAATGACCAACAACAACAACAAAAACATTTGCTACGGGTCCCTTTAATTTGTTTTATACCGAATGCTATTTTGAAACATAAGTTAAAGCTTTTAACTATGTTTTTGAAGGGATGGTGGGAGGGAATAAAAAATAGATAAACTTATAGACACAAAATATAAGGAAAATAAATATGGAAAATGATGTAAAAATATTTTTCCCACTATTCCGAGGGCTGTTGATATTCCAAGCTATTGCTATATCTGCAGTGATAAAGTAGGATAAAAATTGCCTTTGTCCAATAATTTTTTCCTTTCTTTACATTTTAATTATTTTAATAATTTATCCCCTTTTATTTTTCTTATATAGGTATGTGTAGCATTCTACAAGGCATGCTGGGTAAAATATACTATGCAAATGTGTACAGTGCTGCATGTTTTGTTCTCCCTCTGCTTTAGTGGCTTTAAATTTTAAAAATGTGGTGTTATTTTTGTGAATAAAAACATTTAACAAAAAAATGCAGAGTGCATGCATATAGTATCCTAATTTCTATGGATTTGTTTTATGGAATTTACATGTGTACAAAACAACTGCATTAATTTTTTCTTTTATATAATAAATGAAAAAAAACAACACTGAAATCAGCGTTATACCTCTCCTTTATATTATTCTAGAAATATATTGAAGGAATACTGGAAATAGGTATATTCCTATACCTCTTATAGGATAAAGAAAAAGTCCAAACATTTATCCTTAAAAAAAAAAAAAAACGCTCAATTAACTATTTTCTGAAAATAGTTAATTTTCTGCTAGGTGCTATGAGCAATTACAAAAGAAGTACTGTATTAGGAAAGAGTAAGTTACATACATACATACACACAAAATAAAATACATTGGAATAAATGTGTGAAATCGGATTGAATATGAAAAAGTATACTAGATGAACTTTATTGTTCACCAGATACCTGCCCCTAAATGGTTACTTTAATGTAGTAATTCTCTGAAGTTTCCAAAGCTATCCTGTACCTGTAAGAATTCCATAGATGGCTTATCTAAGCTTATGACTTGATATTTCATGTGTTCAGGGTCAAGTATCTATGCTGAGACTTGATTGGTATTTGACTTTTCTCTCATTGCAGTGTATAAGAAGGTCAAAAGAAATATGTACTATGTTGATTATTATCACTGCATTAGAATTATGCAGTGATTTATTACATCTAAGTTATTTCACAAACATTATTACATTTAATCCATCTGACCATCCTGGAAAGTAGTCAAGGAATGGATAACTAAATACAACTACAAATGAGGAAACCAAAGCTCATTGAAACTTCTCTTTAGAAATAACTTTCATTTAAAAATACATATGCGTATGTTAAGCGCTTTTTAGCTAGGTAGGCATCTGAAGCATACTGAACAATGCCTGGAACACAATAAATGTTGACTGAGTATCTCAGTTATTGGAAAGGTATTTGCTAAGGCTGTCTCAACTATCCAAGTATTTTAACCAACAGTCTGAAACTCTCAACTGGAAGAATTACAGTAACTTTCATACAACATGCAGATTAGCATAGTGGTTTGAGTATGGACTCTAGCTCTAGCCTGAGTTCTAGATTCAGCTACAACTAGCTATGAACCTGGGACAAACACTGAACTTTCCCGTTCCTGGGTGTTTCTGTAAAGAGATTTTCTTTTGGTTATAGATTACATCTTTCTGTTTTCTAACATGTCTAATAATTTTATTGGATTTAGAACAGTGTAAATTGTACATTGTTGATGACTTGATGTTATATTCCTTTAAAGAATGTTATATGTGTTTTGGCAGGCAACTGTGAAATATTTGGCCCTTTCGAGTTTTGTTTTTAAGCTTCTTTAGGATTAAAGTAGGGACTATTCTTGGGGTAATTTAGCTCCTCTTGTAAAGTCTCTGGGATGTCTACTGAATGTCCTATATACTTAGGAGTCTTCTTCATCTGGCTGAGGAAAACTCAAATGATTCCTAGCCCTATATAATCTCTAGGAATCACTTGCTATACAGCTCTTGTACTTGTTTCCACAGAAATTGTTACTTGCCATCCTTTTGTGGTTTCATACTACACAAGTAAAGGTTAATATGCAGCCAAAGACTCAATGGACCCCTAAACAAGTTTCTAGAGCTTTTCTCTGTGTCGCTCCTTCCTTTCAGTTACTCTGCTTCACAAGTTCTAACAGCCATGATCTCTAGGAACACTGATCTGTGTCTTCTAGGAATTTTCCAGAATCTTATTTGGGTTCCTACTTCCTCTGTAGTTGGTTGAGAAGTGCTTCCAGGCAGAAAGTTCAAGCAATGGTAAGACTCATCTTGCTTGTTTCTCTTTTATAAATAATCACAGTCCTGTGCTGCATGTTTCCAATATCAGGAAAGAGAAGTCTTTCCAATGACATTTACGCATCTTTAGATGACAACTAAATTAGCCTTTATAAGGTCTCACAAGTCTATTTGCACTAATAGCTTCACACCACTCAACAAAGATTTCAATTGCTTCTGATTTCAAGTTTGTATTTCATCTATGGATCATATAGTTGGGCAAGATTGAATTTGGTAAATTCACTTTTTCTTCTTTCTTTTTTTCTTTTTTTTTTTTTTTTTTTGCGATACTTGGATAATATTCTGGGAGACCATCTCTTTAAGGTAGACTGTAAAATATAAAGCCCTAACTTCATAAGTGACTATGGATATGACATCCATCTAATAAATTGACAGAGATATGTAGGAATTTGCAAAGTTTCAAAGAGTTGCCAAAGCATTATCTACAGTGAGCAAGAATGAAAACATTAAGGAGTTAATGTAAATTGCTTATGCAAAAAAATGTCGCTTTTCTAAACAGCCTATAGAGTATTAAGTAAATACAGACATGATAATCCATAAATTAATATGGTACTGTGATGATTTTACTTCCCTTCATGTATATCTCCTCTAAACTCTGGCTTTTAACACAAGCTCCCAAATAAGCCAAAGTTATTAGTTTTCTATATATGGAGATAAGATAGGAGAATTGAGGTAGAAAAGTGCACTTTATTGTTGATTCTGCTTAACTTCATTTAGCTGTTGGGAATGGGCGTGCAAAGCAGTTCAAATGGCTTCTACTTCTACAATTCCACTTTTTTTGCTCTTGGTCTTATTCTGTTGCCCAGGCTGGAGTGCAGTGGCTCCTTGCAGCCTTGACCTTCTGGGCTCAGGAGTTTCTCCTGCCTCAGCTTACTGAGTAGTTAGGATTATAGGCATGCGGCACTATGTCAGGCTAACTCTTTAGTTTTTTTGTAGAGATGAGGTCTTGCTATAATGCCCAAGCTAGTCTTGAACTCCTGCTCTCAAGCAGTCCTCCGGCCTGGGCCTCCCAAAGTGCTGAGATTACAGGCGTGAGCCACCACACCTGGCCTCCCCTGATTTTTTTCTTTCCTTTTTATCAAAATTAGGGAGAATAGAAAAGAGTGAACTTTAGTAGCCACTTAGAGTTTTTAAACAGGGAAGTGACTTGATCAAAATCGCAGCTTTGGGCGAGAATGACCTGAGAGTGGAGTGAGACTGGAGAGGAAAAGAGCCCTGAAATACAAAATGGCTTTCAGACGACTGTCTAGGAAAAGCCCCCGACTTCAGCTGAGCGGCAGAAAGCAAGAGACGCAAGAGAGACAGACCCTGAGCTTACCTCAAGAGCCCTCTGGGACACTTTGTCGGCCCAGACGCGGGACTTTTTGGTGCAGTGTGTGTGTGAAGGGTTGGGATGGGCGCGAAGTCCGTAATTACATGTTTACATCATGACTCTGTGGAGGAGATTCAGGGAAAACATAAACACTCGGCAGGGACGTACCAGCAAGCCGTCGAGAGCCCTCTGCCCCAACCCGCAGCCCGCACAGCCTAGATCCCGCACAGCCTAGATCCCGATCCCAGGGCGCAGCCCTCGCCGCCGGCAGGTCTCCCGGTTATGCAAATGAGTGAGCTCCAGGGCGGGCACCC